TTTTTGCATATAACTACATTTTGTGTACAAAAGCCTCCAGTAAGTCTAAAGCACAGTCACACTATGTTTCACTGTCCAGTTTATTAGGTGCACCAACCTTGTAGCTACACTCAAAGACTATTTTATCAGATACAGTCTGATACAGATATGCAAAGGTTTGAACACCCCTTATGTTTTGTTGGTTTTCTAAGTGAAAATAAGATAAAATTAAACACATCTTCTACCAACTACGCACTTTAACATATTGAATATAAAAACCTACCATATAAAATGTGCCATTACTTTTGCACAGCTTGCATTTCCTGTTTTTTTTTAACAATATGTTAAAATCAGCGAATAAACAGTAATTGTGCGCTAAAATGAGAACGTTCTCTATTTGACCAGGAGAGACTGTATATCTTCTATACAAGTGCTCTTCATCTGTTGCTGCAATTTATCAAGCCTCACTTTACCCCATTTATAAAAAAGAGACCACCACAGGACCACTGCTGACCATATTATTTGGGAAGTAGTCCATTCTCAGCCAACCAAAAACATCGAGCCAGCAGTTGCCCTGTTGTTAGAAACTGACCACTGATGAATGGCTAGAGGATGACTACGCATATTTTGTATGGAAAAAAGATGCGCTACAGTCTCTAACTGCACACTTAAGGAAAGGTGGCCAGTAAATGTGTGCATTGTTTAAAAATCCCAGCATCATTACTGTTTCTGAACATACTCATACTAGTGCAACAAGGGTATATACTTAAAAAAGATGGTTCTTCAAGTGTTCCTTAGTAAAGACAAAAGTTCTATATAGAACCATTTCATACTTACTTGGTTCTTCAGATTGATGGAGAATGGGTTGTATAGAGTTCTATATAGAATGTTTATGAAAATGGTTCCATATAGCACCAAAAAGGGTTCTGCTATTGTTACAGGCTTGACATCATAACAATAGTAGAACCCTTTTGGTGCTATATAGAACCATTTTCAAAAAGGTTCTGTATAGAGCCATATACAACACATTCTCCATCAATCTGAAGAACCATTTCACCACACTGATGTTGGCATGACAGCAACAAAGATGACTGACAGGTCTTGTCCCAATAGCTAGAACACAAAAGTGTCTTCTGCTTCATCATGTGTGGAGCTGCATCTCCAAAAGCAGCTCAAACTGAGCTATGGCTATGGACATTCAAACTGTGTGCAAAGTGATGAAACTCTCTGTGCTTCTTTTTCCAAAATGGAAAGTGCTCAGTTTGCATGGAGCAAAGGTTATATGAACAATTTAATTACAGTGAAGTTTTTTAACAGTTGGTGGGTTGGTTTAAGTTGTGACAGAATTAAATTAAATAAGCATGGGGAATTTTCCAGTTAAATAATTCTTACTGGGGATTTCTACAGGTATTTTGTATTGATCTCCTAATGAGTTTAAAGCCCAGGCAGACCTGCATCTCTGACCGTACCTTTACACAGAGCCAAGACTTCGGCTCCAGCGCTGATTGTTTATTGGTTAGAAGAGCACACCGGGGGATGGCAGGGCTCAGTGAAGCTTCTCTCTGATTGAGTCTCTCTTCATTGGGCTAGAGAAGCTGCAGTGTCAGGTTTTGTCTGATGGTGAGAGCTGCATTAAACTCACTGGCTGGAAAATGGTCTCCTCTGCTTAGGTTCATTGACTCAGGGGCGCCAACTGAGGAGTGGAGCTTGTGTAGCTGTCATTTGTTGGTCTCCTCAACAAAGACTTTAAAATCTAACCTTTCCAAATGCCTCTACATTTAGAAAAGCTGTATTTGAATTAGAGGTTGTTTTACTAGCATGTAGCACATACACCAATCAGCTATAAGATTAAAACCACCTCCTTGTTTCTACACTCACTGTCCATTTTATCAGCTCCACTTACCATGTAGGTGCACTTTGTAGTTCTATAATTACAGACTGTAGTTCATCCGTTTCTCTGCATACTTTGTTAGCCCCCTTTCACCATGTTCTTCAATAGTCACGACCCCCACAGGACCACCACAGAGCAGGTATAATTTGGGTGGTGGATCATTCTCAGCACTGCAGTGACATTAATGGGGTGGTGGTATGTTAGTGTGTGTTGTTCTGGTCCAAGCGGATCAGACACAGCAGTGCTGCTGGAGTTTTTAAACACTGTGTCCACTCACTGTCCACTCTAGACATACCGACCCCGTTGGTCCACTTTGTAGATGTTCAGTTGTTAAGACTTCTGTGTAATTTTCTGTGTAGTTTTCTTTTTATTTCAGTGATACCAAAAATGAACAACTTGTACATAATGGCTGTTTAAACTGAATTCTGAAGTAGCAGCACTGTGGTAAAAATCAGAGAAAAATAGACTAATCAACTCAAGACAGATGGCGTTATTCTGCCAATGTCCAGATGAAAATCTTGATTGCTTTTTCCACTTCTGTGAATGTTTTATGATATGCTCACTAATTAATGCATTTCCCCCTTCCCTGCTTTCAGGGTCACAGTTTAATGAGCTTTATCAGCCATAGCAGCTTATATTGATTATATGAATGTGCAGATGCTCATTAAATGTTCTAAACATAGTTCATATCCATTGGTCATTCAGTGTTACTACATGAGAAAAAATTAATGCAGTGCTTCAAGAAAAAAATAAGATAGGTTTCAGTGTCGAATTCCGCTGTCTCAATATTAGTCTTCAAAAATCATGAAGGACACTGAATTTAACCCCTTAAAATGCAAGGGCCTGTATGTGGGACCACACTTTAATTCCTTCATCTCTTAACTACATAAATGAAAGTTGTTTCTTAGTAGTTACAGAGTAGTAAGTAATGAGCCTTAAGATTAATCAAATCGTATCTGTATGCATACAGTTGATTACAATAAATGACAATAATTTTGACGATTTGCCTTGTGTTTAGTAAAAGAACAGAAAACAGACTTATGGGCAGGTGCTGAATCTACTGGCCATTAACTCCAGTCATACACTACTGTGCAATAGTCAGAGACCATCCTTCTAGTCAAATTAATAAACTGTAGGCCATTAACTACAATTAAGAAACAGAAAACATCGTTCAGTCTTAAAAGCCGGTAGCATTTTCTGCTTCTCACGATCCTAGTAATCCCTGTAAAATCTGGACTCATTAAATCCTCAGTCCAGGTCTCAGATGTCCAGTTCTGGTGTTGTAGTGTAACTTCTTTTTTGTCTTTGTCCTTTTCTCAGTAACAGCTTCTCAGCAGCTACGCATCCTTTCTTTTATCTATCGATCTCCTCAGAAATAAAATCATTTTAGATGCACATAGTAAGGAAGTCTGTAAGGCAGCTGAGGTGTGTTTGGGTAGATGGTTGTGTGAATGTTAATGTCTTTTTGAAGAGGAACATAATGTCAGTGAAACCTTTGGGAGCAGCTGATGTTGGGGGACACAGCTGTAACTTTTTAGTGTTAAGACTGGAAGGATGGAGGAGTTTAGTGGCAGGATGCACAAAAGTAAAGAAGGGACAAATTATATGTTGATAGCTTTGATAGTGTATGTAATGTTGGAGGCCTCTCTGTGTATTTTTTCTGATTCTGAAAAATGGAAAAGTTATACCTGAATTCCACAGATTTAAAAACAAACCGTATTCGAAATTAAATCGCTGAGATGTAAAGTGGAGAAATTTGATGTAAAATTTGTCATTCTAGAGAAACTCAGATTGGGTAACGATGGTGGTGATAGTGACCAGACGTTCCCAAATCTCCTTCACAGAAAACAACTACATGAAATAGACAAAAACAGGTTTCTTGAATCCATTTTTGGATGAGATGCATGTGCGGGGCACTGCTAAATAGTCCCCAAAGAAAACATATTTTTTCAGATTTAACACTATTTTACCATCGCCAACATTACATATAAAAAACTCATGTTTACTGGTTTACCCAGGTTTACTGGTCATTTTGGATGGTAAATAAAATGGCTCTATTTGTGTTGTTGACATCATGACCCCTGGTTCCTATCACCACCATTGTTGGCAGGTTTCCCTGCCATGAACTATTTCACATCTCAACGATTTTCTCTTTAACGATCATTTTGTCTGGAATTTAAATAACCAAAGGGTGGTCTTTGAACAGTGTTGCATGTGTGTTTTGGGTCAACAGGTTTTCTGTATGGTAAGATGTGGCAGATGTTGGAGTATTCCTTTAAAGCCTTAAGAGTGTTGTGTAACCCCTCTAAGACTGAGCAAACAGTGGTTATATGTTTACAGCCCAGTGATGATGCATGTCCATGCAGTAGGACCCTCAAAGATCATGTTTGAAATGGTCCCTTTGGTGTAACAATAGAACATCTGTTTAACATTTAGCGGAATGTGACATCCTGGGTGTGTCAAGGTGAAATTTGTAAATATGTGTCAAAGAGGACGATATTAACTTGGATATTGTAGAGCTAGGTGCTACAGAGGTCGTGCATGACCAATCAGCTTATAGGGATGACTTTACAAGCTAATTTTATAGTAGCCTTAAGAGACAATAGGGACAATAATAAAACATGTCAGAGCGAAGTGACGTCATTACAAATATGTCCAGAGATCACGTAACTGCAAACATCTCACCTCAGTGGACAGCCATTTACAACCCACTCATAACCACTTTGATCTTTTTCCAGCCTTGCTGTTCTAGCCGATTTAAGTTTGCAACATGAAAGAGAAAGGCAGGTTTAGCAAACTGTTCACAAAGGTGGTGATAGTGATTAGTTTATTGTCCACTGATGAATCATTCTCCATTCACATCTTGTTTCCCATTCTCTCAAATAAGAGCCTGAATGCATCCACAGAGTGACACAGAATTGTCTCATTTAAAATCCATCTTTAATCAATCCATTGTAATTTGTTTTTCTGTCTAGCGGGCATTTGTTACAAAAAAAATATAGTGGTTGAATTATGTACCATTGTTTATCTTCCAAGGCAAATCCCCAGTAACTATAAAAGAGTTATTTTAGAGTTACTGTTTACAGAAATGAAATATGGTCATCATTATCTCAAAGCATGCTCTTTTCAGGAGGAAGAGATTCCAGAGTTGGAGATTGACATTGATGAACTTCTGGAGCTTTCAGATGAAGAACAGAGAACTAGACTACATGTGAGTTCTGCTTTGATCTTGCTTATAGTTTTATGTAGCTCCATGCAAATCTCTACAGAGATTAAAATGATCACTTAGGATCAGAGGTGGATTTAGTGGTTCTGGGGCTCTAAGCAAAAGACAGGAATGGGGCCTTCTAAAGGTTAGTGACACAACTGTCTACCAAAAATATCTTAGCAAGTGAAATCTTGGTTGGTGTAGTATAGAGGGTTACACCTCTGCCCTCCACATTGCAGACCTGGCACACACCCTACACTATACCAACAAGAGTCCTTGGGCAAGACTCCTAACACTACATTCGCCTTCCTGTGTAAAAATGATCAAAATTGCAAATGTAAGTCCTGTTACATCTTGTCATTATATCTAATATTTCTCATTTTGAGATTGCTGTAAGAATATTATTATTAAAGATTATTTTACTTGTTTCTAGACATTTATTACTTAAGTCATTTCATTAAGTGAAATTATCTCACTGTATTTTAAGAAAGATGATTGAAACAAGCAGTGAGATAATTTGGTGCAGAGTGAGGTAGAAGTAGAGTCGGGCAGTATGACAGTAATATGGTATACTATGCTATATAAAAATGATGTCAATATTTAAAAATCATGATGCCATTTCAAAATTATGACATGTCAAATTTCTAATCCACATCCGAATGGATAAATAAACACATCCTGCACCATTTATATTTTAGAGGGATCACTGATTGGTGGTGCAAGGACTCACTGATAAGTGATGCTAACAGAAAAATGGGGGAAATCAGAACCAGATAAAACTCAGAAAAAACTAAGCATGATTGCAGCTCAGCCACAGCAAAGGGCTACACATATAACAACCACACATTCTCTGCACACACCACAGAACAGCTTTCACTCCAACACCAGTCACTTGACTTCACGCACTCCTCTAAACGGGTGCACTATCCTCTAGACGGTTGTCATTTAGCATCAGTTAGCTACAATCAAGCCTGTGCTGTGGTGCTGCTAACTAAGCCCTCGCCCAAACCCCACAGAACAGGTTTGATTTTGGCTTACTTTCACTCTACTTGTGCTCTCTCAAACATTTGCATCATCTAAATTTGTGTCAACAGATCACCAATTTTCAGAATCAAACCTGTACTGTGATGGGTGGCACTGTTTGGATCTGTAGCCTGCTTGCTAAGCTAAAAATAAGGTAGCCTGTAAGGGTACAGATCCAAACACCAAAGAACAGGTTTAATTTCGTTTTTCTGTGCCTTCAACAGTTGCTTTCTCAGATATGAATCATTATTTTTTAAACTTGTGTCAGTGCTTTAGTTCAGAATTACACATGTTCTGTGGTGGGCAGAGCTGTTATCATGCTGGCAAAACTAATGGTAGCTAGCTCCTCTGTCCTCATTAGCAGCACTGTCTAACATTCATCAATTGTTCAATGGATGGTATTACAGTTATTAAACGATGGCTTGAAAATTGTACTTTGTGTTCAGTTAGGCTATATGGTAACCATGTAAAGTAAACTACCTCTTTTGATTTTGAAATAATGCTAGACAAGATGGCAAAAGGAGTTATAATTGGCCTCCACTCCTCCCTAGACCTAGTGAAAAGACCAACCCTGCTCAGGATTTACTGCACAGAAAAAAAAAAGCGTACCAAGCTAAAGCATTTTATATCGTGGATCATGATTTCTGCCACATTATATTCTTGTTCATACAAAAAGGGTCTGTACTGGGGCCATTAGATACATTATGTTAGTAATAAACTGTAGCATTTTCTGATCGGCACAGTCCGTAAGCATTTACACATCTTGTTTTCAGTCCAGCACTGATGACTATGAAGTTAATGTGCAGACTATCAGTCTTAGTTTGAGAACATGTACTTCCAAAGGTGCATTGTGTAGGAATTACAGCTCTGTTTACATAATCTTCCCATTTTAGGGAACCCAGAATAAGCAGAAGCTGGCTGTGCAGTTATTTGTTGGCCAGCAGTGTGTTGTTGCATCATTAGTTCATTAACAATAAGGCAAACAAAAGGTCTGGAATTAATTCTAGATGTGGAATTTGCATTTACTAGTCTCTCAATCATGAAGGCCAAAGAAAAGTCAACAAAAACAGACCATCTCTGGACATCACAAGGCTGAAAAATCGACATAAATCGACAGCCTAAAATATTAGGACCAGTTTCCCAGACCTAGATTAAGCCTAAACCTAGACTGTATGAGATTTTACTGTTATTAAGATATTAAGATCACTCTCCAAGAGGTAGGCATAGACTATCATCCAGAGAATATTCCAGCATGGCGTCAGGGGCTTCGCCAATCATTTATAAGTCTTGGTTTTCAAAGTCCATTGGTATTCCAAAACATCTTTAAAGAATAGTTCAGCAAGAAATAAAATTTACCCAATTTTCCCAGTTTCAAAAACGACCAGTCTATTTGGTGTTTGAAATTTGTGTCTTATGAGGTTAATGTAACAGAAGATTTTGGGTGACATAGACTTCCATTACATTTAAGCGCTATTAGCCTTGTAGCTCAGTAAAAGTAAATTCAGAAGCAAACTTCGGACACCAAACATGTCTTGACCATTCAACTACTTTTTGGGGTAAAGGGGAAAAGTTATTTTCTCTTATCTGTTATGTGAAACATTTCTTTAACTGCTCCTTTTGAAATGTCTCAAAAATGTATTACATTGCACCTTGTAGCAGGACAATGACTGCAGACATTTGCCAATTATTAAAACGACTACTAGAACTACATTAAAGCAACTACTATGGACAATTTCAGGGCCAAAATATGGAATGTCCTCCTGACCCAGAAACTGAAGCAGGAACTGAAAATATATATAGATCCCAGTATATATGTGGCAGAAAGGATGCAGCATATAGAGATGCCTGTGGGTCACAGGTTTCAGGTCAAAGGGTCAAAAGATTTGTAAACAAGTACTAAACACAAAATTTTATTCTGAATTGTGTTCATCAAAAATTATGTCAGTTTTTTTACTAATAAAATGGGAAGCTCTTCTGTGCTTCACCCAGCACAGATTTAACCCCCAAATTAAAGTCAACATTCTGCACGAATAGTTTACCAATAAATCTAAGTTTCACAGTCCTCCCCTTAAATCTAATGTAGTTGATTAGGCAATACATGTTTGATGTCTGAAGTTTACTACATTAGTTTTGCACTGAACTTCCGAGGCTAACATAGCTAACAAGTAATGAAAGTCTATGTCACCCAAAAATCTATTAGAGTAGCCTTATAGCTCCAGTGCAAAAATGAAGAAGCAACTTCTTCATTTACATCAGCCAAGAGACACCAAACATATCTTAGCTGATCTCTTGACTAAATATGGGGTTAGGGGAACTAACTGTTAAACATCAAAATTATCAAAGAGGAATTCCATCAGCTTTTCAAAATTTCAGCATAATTTAAGCATAATATAAACAAAGTCATTCACTCTGGTTTAACCTGAAATGTTCCATTCTAGAGAAATTTACAGACTCAGATTTCTTTACAGTGGTAGTGATAGGAACCAGGGGTCGCAACGTTTAGAACAGAAATATATCCTTTTTATTTACTATCCAAAATCACCAGTGATCCTTTAGGTGTCTTTTGAGTTTTTATATGTAATGTTGATCAAGGTAAATTGTGCTAAATTTGAAAAATTATGCTTTCTTTGGGGACTATTTTGTCTTATAACACCCTGCATGCCTCCCTCTTGAGTGGGTTCTCAAACAATAATATCATTAAACAATGTATGAGGCCCCAGACAGCATATTTATAAGCATATTCATAAGCATATTCATTTTGTGAATCACCACCACTGTGAACAATTCTGACTCTAGAACATGGCATTTCACATCAATCTACTCTAATGACTTTGTGTACTTCTTAACTATTGAATTTTTCAGAAGTTTTGAAAAATTGGCAGAATTCCCCTTTAAATTAACTGTGTAATTTAGATTTTTGGGTGAACCATCCTCATAAATTAAGTATTGTGAGCTTTGCAAGTTTAACAGCACTCAAAATTTGCACGCCTAAAATAAACTAAAACAAATGAACAAAACAAAAGCACTAGGGCTGGGTTGTCTGTCTTAAAGAAAGAAAAGAATACCTCATACGTGTGTTGAATCAGCTCATGAGGCAGTGTGCATGTGTTTTCTTAATCTATAGCATTTTTATGCTTAATGAACAAACAGACCTTGCTGGGAATGAGTCTTGAAATAAGACATAAATAAGCGTGACTGATACACTAGAGAAAGTTTTGGCCAGTTCTGCAGTGCCTTGCACAACAGGCCTTAAATCATTATGTAAGCTAAACTAAGGGAAAAAAACAATAAATCTTCCCAAGACAAATCTAAAATTGCTTCCAAAAGGCTCTATAGGCAGGTATTATATATGAAGTTATTAATTATTCGTGGCTCTTGCTCAGTACGTGCAGGATTCCTGGCTGTGTGTGTTGTACAGTCAGGTTAATCACTCTGTTACCTCTCTGCTGAGTTTCTGTGACAGAAGCTTAAAGCTGAAAGAATTCTTTTCTTTTTTTCTCACTAGGAGCTTTTGCAAGAGTGTGGAAAGCCAAAAGAGGTATGGTGCAAATTTTACTCTCTGATCTAAGAGACCCTATCCTAAAATAGGATGTGAAAGAAACTAAAGATTAGAAGCTATAACATCATTTTCACATGTTCATGTTGGCTGTAATTCTGAACATTATCCACATTGCATTACAAACAGAAATGTGGTTTTTAAGGCCTTAGCAGTTGAGTGTTATTAAGTTGGCCTGAAAAATTGCTGTTCTTCATTTTCTTTTCTGTAATATTATGTTTCTTTGCCAACAGCTTTTAAGCTAGAACAACCAAAGTTTGCACAATTACAGAGCCTATATCTAAAGAGGTTGCCTTTAAAATTGGTTGGTATTAAAGCAACTTCTGTTCAATTTTTCCTCCACAGGAAAAGACAAATGCCTAACATACTGAAACGGAATCATTCTTTTTCTATACCTCATATTCCACCACACTCATTGTATACTATTTGGCCAAAAGTTTGTGAACCCTAACAACTACTTGGAATACCATTGCAACTACATAGCAACACTCTAGCAGAACACCACCTAATATCACTCTAGCAAGCACCTTAGATATCTTACTAAGCTTAGTAACCGCTTAGCAACACCATAGCAAACCACCCAAAACACAAGAGCAGCCATCTAAAAATACCCTCCCAATGAGCAAAAAACCACCTAACCACACCTAAAGTACCAGCACACCTACTGCAGTGTATATACTTGTATTTATTTTCTGTATTTATTGTTCTATGTCCCTGCACTATGTCCTGTCTTGCACTATGTCCTGTCCTGCACTATGTTGTCTGTAATTGCACTGGAGATCTAGCCTAAAAGTGTTTTGTTGTACTGTACAACCCTGCTTCAGTATAATGACAATAAAGTTGAGTTGAACACCCTAGTAATGCACTAGCAACGACCTAAAATACAATATCAACCACTTAGCAAAACCCTAGCAACCACCTGGGATACTATAGCAACAGCCTTAGATACCATAACCCCATACTAACACCATAGCAACCACCTGTAATACCATAATAACTACTTATCAGCAATGTAGCAACCACCCAGAAAACTATAGATACCCTTGCAATCACCTGGAATAGCACAACAACCACTGTTACTACATTCAAATGTAATTATATAATTACATTTCAATTGCATGTTGAACTTCTGACTTTTTCCAATTTGTTTTGATGTCAAAAAATAAGAATAGCGTCACAAAAATGTGAAGGGTGTTTTTTTCTTTCTGCAAAACAAACCTGTATGCACAAACAAAAACTTCACATCAAGTCAGATCATTCACATCATAATACAATATTTCCTCTTCTACTTCTAAACACAAGTGTGGCACAATTGAAAGTTTAGAATGTGCACTTTCGAGAGAGAGAGATCAAATTACACAATGCTTTTGTTATTGCTGGTGATGACTGTGAGTTCTAAGAGTTCATGCAGAAACATAGTGAAATGTTCAGTACAGTTTCATTTAGGGGTCTCTTTAGGAATGATAAAAATACCATCCAGATCAAGAGGCTTGTTTGTTTTTGTCAAAAACCATCAGAAATCTATAATATTCTCTAAATACTTTAAACTCTATCTTTCCATCTTCTCAGGACTTTATCAACGGGTTGCTTTATCGGATGAAGGGCCTTCGCAAGATGTCAGGACCCCTCAAGAAATAGTCCTAGGTGAAAGTCCACAAGCAAGATAATGTGAATAACCCCAACCCCAGCCCCACACCCATATATACCTTTAGAGATCAACGTCTGTCTGTCAAAATATGTAGAATTCCCCTGTACAAATGGGTCAATAAGGGAGCTGTCCATAAATGTCATTTTTGAGTATTACTATTTATGTACAGTTCTGACAACTTCTTCCAGCAGACATAGGGTTGCATTATAGATAAAATTGTACTGTCTATTACTCAATTTTTTTGTGACTTGTACATTTTTGGTTGACTATTTATATATTTTTGTTCTGGAAAGCATTGAATGTGATCATAAAGAATAACTTTTCAAGTCTAGTCTGATGTCGATGTTTAACTGTGTTGTGTAATCGTTTCTTTTTCTTTGGTTTGCTCATTAACTGCTAAACTTCACTGTTTGCTGTGGCAGAATGAACAGAAGCCTTCAAACCTGAGAGATTTGAGATAAGACTCAATTTTGCACAGCGGTATAATTTCTCTGACATAGAACAAATGAGGCCTGTACTTTCTGAGCCAATTTAATCCTTATTTTTGCTCTTGGCAGTTTTGCCATGGTTCATAGATGGCATATGCACTGCCTCTGGGCTTAATATGGGATTTGGAAGTTTGGAAATGGAACAAAATGTATGGTTTCTTAAGAGTTGTTCTCTTCAAAAAATGAACTAGAATTATGTGAAAGTGATATTGTGTATCTAAGTATGCTCCACTATACATGTTACCTTTTAGCCTATCAAAACCTCAAAAATCCATTTTATATATTTTTCTTTTTTACATCATCTGGAATTGCCAGAAGGCCTGTTCATTGTGTAAATATTTAATAAAATGACCCTTTTAACCCCTTATGGGGATACAAGGTTTTGATATGATAGCCTGCTTTATGTCTTAGGCCTTCTTCACACAAATCCTAAAATTTTTACGTTTTTTCTTCTTTTTCAAAAAACTCCACATCAACAGTGAAAACCTCTCCATCCACATACGAATGAAAAAAATGACTCAAAAATGCTCACACAAGCATGTCCTCCCAGTAAAGGGTGATAATACCTCATAAAAATTGATGTCATTATACTGTGAGAAGTAATACTGCACATAACAAAGTGTTACACAGTAGGCTTTCATTTATGGTCAGATCTCCATAGTTCAGTATTTCACATAGATTCAAAGACCGATTCCTGCCAGAAAATAAAAGTTTTTGAAATCTTTGAAATGTCCATGCAGTCCTGATCAGACAGACGTTTTTCTAGCTTTACACACCATTTGAATTCTGAAGTTAATATATTTTTTTTCCAAAAAGTCACATATCTTTAGAATCATTGTGGCATTTTTCAAATTTGCAGTAGAAATGACACCCCTTTTAAAAGAACTGAGTGCAGGACATACTGACACCTCCACACAACAGTGTAATGAAACAGTAAAGCTAAATTCAATTGAAAACATGTTATCAACCCCCAAATTGCATAGCACACCGACACAACACAGTCATCAGCTATATTTCAGATAGAGTTCACACTGACAACAGAGTTTTCAATAATCTCCACCCTGCAGCACTTTTAAAAACCTCCATTTTCAGCAACTAAATCCCCCATTTTCATGCAGAACTACATTTTCAAATGTCTGTGTGGACAACAACTTAAAATTAACCTGAAATCAAAACAGACCTTTGTCACCTTGTTACTTCATGTGCCTGGTTTTATTAAATGGGAATTCCATCGAGTTTTTAACAATTTCTGCATAATATAATCAGAGTGATGTAAACAAAGTCATTCAGAGTGATTTGATGTGAAATGGTTCCTTACTGATTTACAGTGGTGGTGATAGGAACCAGGTGTCACAATATCTCACAAATACACTAATTTATTTACTCTCCAAAACAACCAGTGAAAAAAGTTTTCTTTCTTATGAAGACTATTCGGCCCCACAACGGCCTGCATCTCTCTGCCATAGATGGGTTTAAAAAATACACTTTAGACAAAAATCTCATCTCAAAACTTAATAAACAATCATAAACAATGGGCCTCATTCACCAACCGTTCTTAAGAAGAAATTTCTTCTTAAAACCCACTTGTGTAGTGGATTCTGACATTCACAAATTAATTATTCCGGATTTGTTCTACAGTAAGAAAAAATTTAGGAAGATAATGGTGAATGAGGCCCAATGTCTTTGACATCATTCATGTAGTAACTTTGTATGAGGGCACTTTTGGAGGCATTAAACTCATTGTCTGGTTCCTATCATCACCACTGTGAACAACACTGACTCAGTAAGCAGAACATTTCATAGCAAACAACTCTGAATGACTTTGTTTACATCTTCGTTATTTCATTTCTGCAGAACATTTGACAAAATAATGTAATGCCTCTTTAAGCACTTTTCATTTAAAAGACATTTTTATTTTCCCATAATTTAACCTATAATATCTTCAAGCGAATATGCTCAGCTAGACCCTAATATCATGTTTCATTTGGAAACACATCACGGCATGGAAGTAAAATGAGTTATGATTTCCATTCTACGTTGACTTAATGTTTGTAATATTGCTTCTTGAGGGCATCTTGGTGTCCTGTTTCTTACGAACATGTGAGAGGCTCTCAAAGTCTCCTCCTGTTATCTAACACCACAGAGTCACGTCAATCATCACAGCATGAATGAAGTTAGAAGAGCACAATCACACGATTGTAACTCCATAAATGGGTAACTGTGTTGAGGATGTCACAGACTGACAGCATTGTCACAGTTTTCAAGACAGAGGTCAGTGTGTTGCTGTCTGTAGACGTCTGTTTGCGTGCATGTGCTCGTTGTTCTAATCAGATGGGTAAACCAGACAAGTTCAGTTCCTGTTTTAGTGGAACTTCACTAACGCTGACGGTCAGGGTTACTGAATACCAGTGAATTTCTGAGCAAAACCCACATAAAAGGTAAACCAAAAAGCCTCTGTGACCACCATGTGATTATCTCTTCGCTGTCAACGTCTCTAAAAGTGCTCCTCTGTGAACCCTGAAAAGATATACAGTCCATCATAAATGCATCCATACATTAACCATGTTCCATTTATGGCTATAATGTAAATGCTAGTAGAAAAAAAACACTTGCAGTGGAGGAATAGCATCTTAATGGATCACTCACTGTAGCTAACCTCAATCTATACGTCCCAAGAGTCTGTCAGTAATGCCCTGCTAATGCTGAAGCACTTCCTCTCCACTCATCTCTCTCTTTCTCTCTCTCTCTGTGTTTCTTTCGGCCTCTTTGCGACGGTTGTCTTGCCACAGCTCTTTCAAATCATTTGTCTTCCATTTATGTTGACGTGCCAATGCAGTCATACTACAATGTAATTAAACATCCAAAATCATGTAGGAACAGTATGTAGCATTGTGAAGAGGAATGACAGGATTTACTGGGGGAAGCTCAGAGAGGTAAAACAAGCCTGGATCAGATAAGGGAGAGAGAAGCACAGAGAGAGTCTGCGGTTGCCCTTAGATCAGGTGAGTGTCTCACTGTGAGTAGAAGTGAGTCATCTGAATACACAGACCACCTGAAACTCAGTTATCTCTTTATATGACCTGCACAGGACACCAGCCATGTGTGGTGAGGGTCTTCAATATAGTATAAAGACATTTTGGATTCAGTGGGAACAGAGAGATACAGTGAGGGAAAACAAGTGTTACATTTTCTTATATATTATACATGGATATATATACTGGAAATGCTGTCACATGGAAAATATTGAACAACATTGTTGATTTTTGTTCGAAATAATAATGTTTTAAAAATAAAACATTTACAATATGTTAAATACAGCAAACAAGCAGTAATTGTGTATTAAAATGTGCACAAGTGTGTAGAGGATTTATTAACTTATTTTCACTTAAAAAAATCAACGTCATTTGACCAGGGGTGCCCAAACTTTTGCATACAACTGTGTATTAAATATCAAAACCAAAAAGCACCTGTACATACAAGTACTGCATATTTCCAGTTTTTAGGCACACATACACTATACGGACAAAAGTATCGAGACACACCACTTAATCATTGAATTCAGGTGTTTCATTCAGTCCCATTGACACAGGTGTATAAATCAAGCACCTAGCCAGTCTGCCTATACAGACATTTGTGAAAGAATGAGTCATTCTAAACAGCTCACTGAGTTTGAGCGTGGTACTGTAATAGGATGCCACCGTTGTAACAAGTCAGTTTGCAAAATTTCTTCCCTCCTAGATATTCCACGATCAACTGTGAGTGGTATGGAAAAGTGGAAGCATTTAGGAACCACAGCAACTCAGCCACGAAGTGTCAGACCACGTAAAGTTACAGAGCGGGGTCAATGAGTGCTGAGATGCACAGTGCATGAAAGTCGCCACCCCCCTGCTGACTCAATAACTGCTGAGTTCTAAACCTCCTCTGGCATTAACATCTGCACAAAAACTGTGCACAAGGAGCTTCATGGCATGGATTTCCATGGCCGAGCAGCTGCATGCAAGCCTTACGTCACCAAGCATAATGCCAAGCGTCGGATGGAGTGGTCTAAAGCACACTGTCACTGGAGCAGTGGAAATGCATTCTGTGAAGTGACAAATCACGCTTCTATATCTGGCAGTCTGATGGACGAGTCTGGGTTTGGCGAATGCCAGGAGAACATTACCTGCCTGACTGCATTGTGCCAGTTGTAAAGTTTGGTGGAGGAGGGATAAAGCTATGGGGTTGTTTTTCAGGGGTCTGTCTAGAGCCCTTAGTTCCAGTGAAAGGAAATCTTAATGCTTCAGCATACCATGACATTTTGGACAATTCTATGCTTCCATCTTTGTGGGAACAGTTTGGGGAAGGCCCTTTTCTGTTCCAGCATGACTGTGCCCCAGTGCACAAAGCAAGATCCATAAAGGCATGGTTGGATGAGTTTGGTTGGAAGAACTTGACCAGCCCACAAAGAGCCCTGACCTCAACCCCATCACCCCCCACACCTTTGGATGAACTAGAACAAAGATTGCGAGCCAGGCCCCCTCGTCCAACATCAGTGTCTAACCTTACAAATGCTTTTCTGGATGAATGGGCAAAAATTCCCACAGACACACTCCAAAATCTTATGGAAAGCTTACCCTGCGAAGGGGGACCAACTCCATATTAATGCCTATGGATTTAGGATGGGATGTCATAAAAGCTCCTGTAGGTGTAATGTGTAGGTGTCCCAATACTTTTGTCCATATAGTGTACCTTCTACCTGAGACACAGTACAAAGTCGTTCTGAGTGGTTTGATGTGAAACAATCTATTCTAGAGAAACTTACAGAGTCAGAACTGTTTACTGTGATAATGATTGGAAGCAGATGTCTGAAGCTTTTAATGTCT